GTTTTCAGCCTTCTGACTCGGACCGAGTCAGTACTTGACTCGGACCGAATACGAGTCGAAGCCCAGAAAGTGTTTTGGGCTTGGCTGATGTTTTGACTCGGTCGAGTCAAAGTTTTGACTCGGACTGAGTCAATACTCAATGGGCCGAGTCAAGAGTTGACAATGGACTTGGACTGATTCGTTCTGACTCGACCGAGTCAGAGTTCTGACTCGGACCGAGTCAGAGTTCTGACTCGGACCGAGTCAATACTCGGAAAAAGTCTCTTTTCACAAGGATTAGGGTTTCTAACTTATAAAAATGTGTTAGACGACGTCCTAAGTAAAGAACTCACTTTCAGAACCCTAAGACAGAGCAAAAACTCAGAAGAAATCGTTTCTTTAATAGTTCTAGCTCCCGGGATTAGATCCCACTTCATATACTTCACAGATCCTAGCAGATCGGTTCCAAAAGCGTTTGGAATCCTTCCCGTCGGTGTGGATACGTGTAGAGGGACTGTAACTTCAGTCCTAGGTGATTAAACAGGCCCCGGATCGACTCCTACTTCCGTTTCTTCAGAAAAGAGGTAAGTATTCGATTTCCACGTCCAACACCCTGATCGGAGACTGCCTAGCAAAATCGAAGCTCGGAGAGAGTTCGTTCTCGATGGTATGGAGATCGGAGCAGAGATTCACCGGAGAAGGAGCTGCGTCGATCTCACGAAGCTCAATCTCCATCTCTGGAGCTCTCTTTTCTCTCTTCCATCAACCATTCCAATATCATCGGTCTTCATCTCCAATTCTTCCAGGTTCGATCTCATCCGTCTAAGATCGTGCTTGTGGAGGAGTTCCTTTTGATGAAATTTGAACTGGTTTTCAATTAGGAGTGTAGAACTATGCACAATACCATAAGAGTTGCTTCGTGCTTTGATTTTGAGTATGTCTATTTGCCACCAATCTACTCTTTTGAGCCGTTCCCTGTTTGTAATCTTCAATTTGGGATGAGCTTTCAGGTTCCAAGTTGGGTCTTCTTTCCCAGCGACATTTATGTTCTTCGCTTTTAGGATGGGAATTTTCTCATAATGGTTCTGGAACATTGCGACGGAGGAAGAACCCTATGGGAAAGTTCAAGAACATATAGCACCAGGAGATTGGTATTTGCCACAATCTTCTGGTTCCTTATCTGTAATGATATATTGAACGAAATAGAGTATCCTGTATCCTCAGCTCCATTGCAGGCTGACAATGTGGAGTCTATGAGCCATCCTTTCCGTGGCTCTCGTAAACAAACTGGAAGATGTGCTTCTTCCCGATCCAAAAGACGGGGATAGGCTTCCTCCATTCAAAACTCTTCATTTTTTTCTCGACCGATTCTTCCGAAATTGCACCCTGACTGCATCGACATCTCTCTGTAACCCAGGTACCGAAAATCATTTCAAGATATGTTTCAACAGTATACTTTAGATTTCGCCCGTGCCGAGTTCAAAATCATTGGTTATTCTTTAGTTTTTGGATAAAACCATTGATCTCATCGCGTTTGTAGCTTTGATTGATGTTAACAGCAGTCATGCTTTGAATTTGCGTTGTTAATGTTTTTTTTTTCTTCATAACCCGGTGATTTTATCACTTGTTTTCCGATGATAACCAGAAACCCTACTTTGTAGAATATCATTAAAATTCTACGCGAAACGGGGAAAGATTATGGTTTTTGTTTTTTT